GGGTCGACACTGCCGCCCCGCGCCAACTTTGCGGGGCCCGCCGCCTTCCCTGCCGCGCGCTCGGCTCCGCGCTACGCTGCTCTGGGTAATGGCGGACCGCTGGGCACTGTCGCTCCCCGGCGGGCAGCCCGAGCCTGGGGACGCCAATCCCTGGGGATCGCTGCACCTGCCCACCTTCAACTTTACGCTTTCCTGGTCGGGGCTCTCCGAACGCAGCGCACCTGCGATCGCGGTAATGGCGGACTCTTGGCACCGGCAGCCGCCCGCGGTGGGGGGCCCGCGGCCGGGAGGGCTCTGCTCCAGGAACGCTGAGCTCGGGCATCGCTGCTCCCGCCCGGCTTCCAACTTTGCCAGGATCCTCCTTGCGCTCCCGCGGCAATGGAGGGGCCGCCTGTACCTCTTACTTCTGTTCCGGCGGGATTAGGGTGTGAGAGCGCCGACTCCCAGAACCTGGGAAAGTTGTTTCTCTCCCACGAGGGAGGATCTAGGGCTCCTGGCACGTCCCTGGAGTGGGCAAGGGGCGCGCTCCGCAGCGGTTCAGGGACGGGCAACGCGCCCAGCGCAATGGGTTTGCTTCCAGGTGGCCGAGGCTCCCAGCTGGAGCCCTGCGAGATCCAACTGCCCTAACCACCCAGGGTCTTGGGGTCGGTGGGTCTAGACAGGGCTCTTGGTACTTGGCCCTAGAGGACGTGAGACGCTCGTCCCCACACCCGGGGCACCACGGTCCAAGCGACCGCAGTTGTCAGCGCGCGGGAGATCGGGGACCGCGCCGTGTGGGGCGGGTTCCCGCAGAGGAGAGGCACGCGCCAAGAAGGTGGCAGTGGAGCGAGGGCAGGAACCTTTCCAGGACTCCTCCTGGGTTTTAATTCTAGAGCTACCGTTTCCTTGCTGCGTGACCTTAGGTAAGTCCCTCATCTCTCTAAGCCTCAGTGGTCTCGTGTGTAAAATGGGGAAGCAAGACTTTTCTCGTGAGCTGTTGTGAGGATCTTTAAAAAATCACGAACGTAAATATGGAGCCCAGGGCAATTGCTCAATACGCAGGAAATGTTGCTGCTGTATTTTATTTGAACACCCTGGGATGGATCCTGGAGACTCCCGGGTCTTGGTTTCCTGCCTACACAGAATGGAGGGTCGGCCCCTGAGGGTAAGAAATGTGGCTTCCCCCTCCTTCTGGACCCTAGCAGTCCAGGAGAAGAGGCGGTGGGGTTCTTTCTGGCGGATGAGACTCACTGTGTTTTCATTGTCCGACCCAAACCTGGCTCAGGAAAAGTGCGCTAGCGGCCACCACCGCTATGGGAACGTTCCCGAAGGTGCCCTGGCACCAGTGCGGTGCAGGCTAGCCCAGGGCGCAATGTCGGAGCTTTGGTGGCCCAGGACCTTGGGAACACAGGAGAAAGGAGCTGATTCCCCAGATTCCTCTTATAGAGGAAGGAGGAAAAAACTTCCCCTTTGTTAGGGCTTCTCTAATTGGGATCAGGGCAAACAGGTCTGGAAAGACACAGGAAGAGTTTGGCAGCAGCTCTCTGGAGGGAGAATGGCTTCCCCCCCACAAACTAAATTTTTCTCTTTGCTTTTGGTGTGTGTGTGTGTGTGTGTGTTTTTTTTCCTTCTGTTTTGTTTTTTAACCTTGCGGCCCTGCCAGAAGCAGAGAGATCAGACCTGTTCTTTGCCCTCGGACATCTCATGGGTAGGTCTGAGAAGCCATGGCAGGTTGGGGAAGGCAGATACTTGGCCCCTGCACCACTGACCCAGCCCCTCTCTACCCACCAGATTGCCAAAGCCCTCTGATGGGCACGCAGCTCTGTTTAGGTTCCAAGGTGCTGCCACCTACAAGATCTCTCTGGAACCTCCTAACAGCTCCCCCAGATCTCCTGTGTAGTGATCTGAATCCCACATTTGCAGCTGTGGAAACTGAGTTAGGCCTAACAAGCTCCATGCCCGCTGGTCAGTGGCACCGCTAAAGACCTCCACCTGGTTTTTGGCTTTCTAATCGGGGATGTTCTGCATGCATAGACAGTCTGACACTCGCCCCTCCGTTAGTGTACACAGCCTCAATTCCTCATGGATCTGCTCAGCCAGAGGCTACCCCCAGTCGTCAGGAGCATAACAGCATCTTCAGAAATTATTATGACCTTGCCCCCAAGTCCCAGGCCATGCAGACCAAGAGCAAGCCACACACTAGAGAGACCTGTTGAAGACCTCTGCATGAGGGCGAGTTCAGTTCCCTCCGTGGCTGTGCAACTTAGAATTCCTCACTTACCCTCTCTGAACCTCAGTCCCATTATCTGTAAAATGAGAGCAGTAACTCCCTCAAGGGGTTGCTTTGAAGATCTCCTGATCAGGAGTGTAAAAGGGGGTTCTGGAAACAATAGTTTTATGCCAAGACTGGTGATTGGAAGGAAGTAAAGAAACCTCAGGGGAACATCTATGTCAATGTTTTGGGGTCAGCCTTGTGGACAGGGCCACCAGACCAGGCTGCCCTTTGTGCTTCCTGCTTCTCCTTTATTCTCTCCCGATGGCTGAAGCCAGCCCATCTGGCTGTGTCCTCTGCTGGGAAGGACACAGGGTGAGGCTGAGAAGCTGGAATGATACAGGATGTTGCCAGAGGGTCTCTGCCGCCAGCTGCAAAGGAGCTGTCCAAGGTACCACGGGGATGTTGTCCGAAATCTTCCCTTCTAACTGGGGCGCTGATTTCCCAGCACACAGGAAGGCTCGGGTCAGTTCGCCCACTTATTGTGAGCCTTCTAATGCCATCAGTTCTTATCCCCAAGCCTCATGGTCCAAAGAGGGGGAACTGAGGCCCAGAACAGACATGTGACTTGGTGAAAGTCACACAGCACATTATCGACACAACCGAGACGGATCCTCAGTGTCCTAACTCTGTTCCGTGCTCACTGAAGGGAACTGAATGTTTCCATCAGCATAAACAAGCCCCAGAGATGCAGAGTGCAAAGGAAATTTCTGTCTCTTCTGGTTGTCATTACAAATAGGCAAACTGTTTGGGAGAGACTGAGCACAGTTCCTCCCACTTGGAACTTGCTGGATGCCAGCCCTGAGGTCCCGCTTCCTGTTGGGCATTGGTCCCCATGGTCAGTCCGTTCAGGGAGAAATTTTCTCTTAAAAGTAACCCGTCAGCTGGGTGCGGTGGTGCATGCCTGTCATCCCAGCAGCTCAGGATCATGTGTTCAAAGCCAGCCTCAGCAAAAGCAAGGTGCTAAGCAACTCAGTGAGACCCTGTCTCTAATTAAAATATAAATTAGGGCCGGGGATAGGGCTCAGTGGTCAAGTGCCCCTGAGTTCAATCTCCAGTACCCCTGCCCCCCCCCAAAGTAACCTATCAGGTAATTGTAGGAGCTAATGAAACCCATTTAACCACCATCAATGTCACCAATCCCCTGGTCGGAGCTCACTGCAGCAGCCAGCCCAGGCCCCCCCACACACCTCTGCAAGCCCTGCGGGTGTTCCTGGGGCTCTGGGGTCTGTTCTGCAGGAGCAGGAATGGTGGACAGTGCTCCTGAACCCTGGGCCGTGGAGCCCACTTGACTCTATTCAGTGAAAAAGATGTATCCACAGAAAATGTCCCTAAGTCCCCAACACGAGCATTGCCAACAGGGTGGAGTGGGCACGAATGTTGGCATGATCATAGTTCGTGAGGATCAGAGCAGTTGTCACAGGTGGTCCTGTGACTGCCATCAGCACGTTTGTTAAATGTGACGTGACGAGTGGTGACTATCAAGTCCCGGGCTGGGGCCCAGGGCCGGGTGCCCAGATTAGGTGGGGTGAGCCCCGTCTGCAGAGCCTGTGGTCTAATCAGGCAGAGGGCATCCAAGAAGCCACGGACCAGGCTCTCACTGCAAGAGAGGGTGAGGGGAGGTGGCTGCCACCCCAGGGCGGTGGCCGAGAAAGTCAGGGGAGGCTTCTTGAGCTGGTGGCCTCAGAGCTGGTGGCCTCGTTCCTACCACCCTTTCAGGGACAGGGTCTCCAGGGCCTCCCAACAGGAGCGAGCTAGAAAGGCAAAGGATCCAAAGCTGTCATCCTGAGACACAGGAGGGGCAGGCGCAGGCCTCTGTGGACACAGCGACTGGGCGTGAGTTAGGGAACCTCGGCCACCCTCTGGCAGGTCATCCATGCTCGGGGGGACTGTCACTACTGCAAGGGTGATTCAGAGGGCTCAGTGGGACAGTGTGCATATGTGACTCTGGAAAAGGGACAAGGGACATCTCAGTGATCATAATGAAGAAATGCAAAAACAGAGAACCCCCCCCCTTAGGTGGTCCATTGGACGGGCCACGCCCCTTCCTGTCCTGAGCTTCAGGCTTCTCATCTGTGGACAGAGTTGAAATTCAAAGTTGGGAGTTCATAACCCACTTGAATCAAACTGTGAAAGATGATGTATTAAGAACTGTGTAATGTTTTGAACGACCAACAATAAAAAAAAAAAAAAAGAAAAAGAAATTCAAGGGCATCTCTCTGTCGGGAGGAGGCCTGCAGATTACGTCCTGGTAGGTTGGCATAGGGTTCTTTTGAGTTTTGTTGGTTGGAATTTTCTGGAAGGTTTGGTTTTCGGGTTTGGGTTTGGGTTTGGGTTCTGTTCAGTTTGTGCGTTTGTTGTTGGGTTTTTTTGTTGTTTTTTGGCTTGTTAGTTTTGCGGGGGGCTTAACCAATGTTTGGATCACTTGGCCCTTGGAGGCAAGAGTTAAAACCCCTGGAATAATCATCTGCAAAAACCTTTTTCTGCTTTAACTTTCTGTTCCTGGTCTGAGACAAACACTTGCCCAATTGGCATCCATCAGCCACATTCAAAAGACAGGTGGCCCTGGTCAGATGGAAACCTCCCCCACCCCCCACCCCCCAAGCCTTTGCCCTGGGCGGGGGCTTGCAGTTACAACCCCAGCAACATTTTCTTTCTCCTCCACTGGATTTATGTGTTCTGTTCCTTCCTGTGATCACTCACCTCTTCTCAGTTGGAAAGCTCAGGAACAATGGTCCTGCTCTTTTGGCCACCCACGATGCTTCAGGAGTCTGGAACTAAAAGCACCTCTGAAAGAAATCCTACAGGTTCTCAGGGGTGCCCCGAAGGCATCTCGGCTTCTGCCGGGAACATTGGCCCAACTTTGCCCGGCATTAAATAATACTCAGGCGTCTCTTCTTTATTCCCAACCTGACAGCTAAATTGCTACTCTGGGATTTTTTTAAAAGGTGGGCTTCCCTAGAATCCATTTCCAGGAGGAAATGAAGAAGGGATCTTGTGACTTCAGAGAGCTTGCTGGGCTTCAGAGAGTATCAGCGAGCAGACATCATGTCTCAGCTAAAGGATTTTGATTTCTTGTCACAAATAAGAGTCCGGTCAGCTGCCTTTTCATTGAAGGAATAAAGCCCTGAGCTTGCTGCGTCGTGGTGCCAGACCCCGCAAAAGAGGCTCCGGCCTAAAGGAGTAGCTCACGGTGCTCAAAAAAAGGTACCCACGAGCCAGCGACTTGAATGCATGGAGGCACACGCTACGGACAGTCTATGCTATTTGGTCATTGAAATAGCCACGTGGATCACACTGGGCTGGGTTCCCCTCTAGGAATTTTAAGCCAAAAGATGTAACCTTCAGGGGATCGGTCAGAATAGTAATCATCAGCAACTGACAGATTTTGGGCATGTTTTTTTTTTCTCTCTCTCTGCTTTTGAAGCAGTAGCCCAGTTCTGAAATATTCAATAAGAAAAATAATGACCAATTATGCTCACGGAGTAATGAACAGTCGATCGTATCTATGTGCTTGTTTGTTAACATAAGACTTGGCTGGAAATGCCTTCAGGTATCAGTTCTTCTCTAATATCATGAAGTCATTGAGATGAAATCCATTTCTTACAAAGCAGGGTATAAATTAATAGGATCAGACAGGCTTGCTGGCTG